AAAAAAATAATAATAATAAAAGTGAAGTCGTCGTTGTTTCCTTTTTATCGCCATCTATAGATCCCCATCTCTCCGTTGCTACTTTCAATCGCCACAGACAAAAAAAAAAGCTTCTTCAGTTTTTTCCGACCAAAACCAACACCCACAGATCAAATTCAAACTAAGTTTAGAAACTTCTGCAACTTTTTTTTCTAATTCAATCCAGTTTATCCTTATGCTTTAGCTGGAGAGGTTTTTAAATCCTTGCTTTCCGTTTGGGGAGAGGAACTCCAATGGGACTCTGCACCTCCAAACCCTCCCCAAACCCCACTCTCTCCCCCAAATCAGACCCCAGGACCACCCCTATTCCCCCCCAGTATAACGATGTTCATCACAGCCCTACCTCTGTTCCGCCTAAGGGTAATGCTAAACCGTCGGCTACCTCGGAGAATCAGAATGATGTGAATGATCGAGACAAAGAGGAGGATAAGAGCTGCATCCCCAACAATGAAGGCAGGAAATCGCCGTTTTTTCCGTTTTACAGTCCGAGTCCAGCTCACTACTTGTTCTCCAAGAAGTCTCCCGCGAGATCTTCGGCGAATTCGACTCCGAAGAGGTTCTTTAGAAGGCCGTTCCCTCCACCGTCGCCGGCGAAGCACATAAGGGCTGTGCTGGCACGTCGGCATGGGTCGGTGAAGCCTAACGAAGCGGCAATACCGGAGGGGAGTGGAGCGGAGGGTGCTCCGGCCACGGGACTTGACAAGAGCTTTGGATTCTCGAAGCATTTTGGGAGCAAGTACGAGCTTGGGGAGGAAGTTGGGAGAGGCCATTTTGGTTATACATGCGCAGCGAAGTTCAAGAAAGGAGAGCTCAAAGGACAACAAGTTGCTGTTAAAGTCATACCCAAAGCGAAGGTAAGCTTGCACCATATCCATTTCACATTGTAGAGGCGAGATCTGCTGGTAAACATCTGTTTTATCGCTAATCAGTTCTGTAATATGCGCAATTGCGTGATTTCTGGATTAAAACTATTGAATTATTGCTGGGGCAATTTTTGGGTTGGGACACTTAAATTGCAGATTCGGTTGTGGTCTTTTTTTTTTCTTTCTCAACACGGTGGAGCTAGAATGCAGATGTCATTTTCCGGTGGAAATTTATGTTTGTTACGGTGGTAGTAGTAGTTTTAATATTGAATGGTGGAGGAGAAGTATGGGGAAGATTGAATGGGGGGAGAGAATTATGGGGAAGAGGATTGCTCGATTGCATTATATTTGAATTTTGTGTAAGTTACCTTCTGTTGCGCCTTTGTTTTTTTTATTTTGTTTCTCTGATTTTTATTTTGTTTGTTAGATGACAACAGCAATTGCCATTGAGGATGTAAGAAGAGAGGTAAAAATATTGAGAGCTTTGACTGGGCATAACAATCTAGTAAAATTCTATGATGCGTATGAGGATCATGATAACGTCTACATTGTAATGGAGTAAGCTCTAATGGTTATTCTTTCTTTGCATT